GCGATGCTTTGATAGAACATGTTGGCTTCCCGTCTATTCAGTGGGGATCCCCTCAGGACTCTGGTATAATGGGTGCATTTCTTGATCAGCGCTGCTTTCTGTGCTGCGAGATTTCCAGCCCGGCCTTTGAAACATCCCAGTGACTTGTGATCTTTGTAGTTGTCGACTGGTTATCCCATCAGTGGATGCCACCTTGATTGATGGTGTAAACTCAGTCACCGAGACCAGCCTTGGTTCGCCACTGGATCGGAACTCATACCGGAGATGATGAAAGGAAAACTTCGAAGCCTCCAGCTTGCCACCCGATGACCACAGAAGATCATTCCACCATTGAGCATCCTTGGTTGCCTTCTCCACCAATACCCGCACTGAGGGAATAGTGTTGGTCAAAAAGCAGTTCGTTCTTGAATTCGTACCATCCACAAACCCCGTCATGAAGAGCTGCACCTGCTTTGATCCGCCTGGGCTGGCAAAGGTGGCACCAGTTGCATAGGGCTCGAACCAATCAAATAGTGTGCTCAAAATAAACAGCCATAAGGCAGGGGAGTTCCAAGCCCCTTGCCCAGACCCGTGCAAGGGATCTTCATCCGTATGACCGAGAAACGTGGCTGACGTTCCCAGAGTGGTCTTGTTGTGGTATTGGGCCTGTTACAGATTCATGCCGTTTACTTTGCAGACACGCAATGGCATACCCATCTTTCGGTTTGCAAGACTGGCAATGTACGTGAGAATCCGATCGTAGCACGCCGCCGCGTCATTGTCATTCCTGATTAGGGGGTGCAAACAACAACGTGATACTTCTAATCGAGTTTCCTCCATATAACAGGAGTGATTTGAATCCCGTTACGTTTCCGACTTTTTACGCCTTAGCAATCCTTCTAGAGATGCGGCGGCGTTTCCTTAAGGAGAAACCTTCGTACACAGCGGGACGGTTGCGCGATCCTTTCCACCAGACCGGCAAATTCTTCTTCTTCGAAATAGCCTTGGTACCTGACGCAACCGCGGGTGGGATGGATGTACGAAAAACCGGTTGCAAAGTACGCGTCGGGGTTTCGTAGGATGCGAGGATGGAGCCTGTATCTCCTCTGTTCTTTTTAAACTCATTTTGGAACTCTTCAATCTTCGAGGCGATGACTCTGGTCTACAAACGAAGGGATTCTTCAAGAGCATGTCGAAGACTTTCTTGCTTGTCAACCAGGCTGCTCTGGTTGTCTTTATGTTGGACGAGGGGGTGGATCCAATTGATCCAAAATGGACAGGTCAATGCGCAAAACCATTGTGCACATTTGTGACTTAATGACTTAAGCCGAATTGTCCTTTGATACAATGAGAGATTTCAATTTATGTGTTGTGTAGCGAACGGAGAAAAAAGAGTACTACTGTAAGCAATGTTTAATGACCGTTAGTTTTTCTTTGGATTACGTCTTAAACGGGAGGGGGCCGTTGTTACTTGAAGTCACATATCAGAGTGTCTTGGCATGTACATTCGACTTTGGTGTAATTAGATGCATTCGATCTCCCTTTGCCTTTTCCTTTTCCCGCACTTCGGACGAAAGGATCAACAGAAGGGTTATTGGTAGCAAGTAGTACTTTTTCATTTTTCGATCTTTCTGGTTAGAAATTATGACATGTCGGTGTCAAATTTATTGGGCTGGTTGATTGTTGAGTGCGTTTCTTCTTGCTGGTTGATTGTTGTTGTTCTGTTCTCTCTTCTTCTCATAAGAAGGGTTTTTTGTCTCGCTGGATGATTTTCACCACCTTTCTTATCCGTGAGGCGAGGCGCACCCGTCACCTAGTCTTTTCCTGTTGGAATCCTTCGTCCAATGATTACGATGAGCTATTGGCTATTGCCGAGATTATTCAGGCTTCATTGGTCTACAAGACGGTGCGCGATGGTTACAGGCCTAGGTTGGTGGGATGTTTCTTGTTGTATGGTCCTCCCGCATATCCGAGTCAAATCGTGGACGCGCTCCCGAATTTAGCCCCACAGCCCAGACATCACGTGGACCTTCGGTCTGGACATGAATTCTGGAGGGCGGGGGGAACTTCTATGGCTTTCGTAATGTAGGGCCTACACGATCTGGTCTCTACGTGGACGGTGCTCTTTTCAATAACGGAGTGGAAAATCCTTTCGATTCCATCAAGACTCGATTGTTCCAGGATTGAGGTACCAACGGTCGACGAACGAGTAGGAGGAAGTTTCGACGAGCGATTATGGAGGGAAGTTTCGACGGGGATGAGATTTCGGAGTTCGGGAGGAAAGTTTACCAATAATGAAGTAATAGTCTCTCATTACAAAAATGTTCGTTTCGATTCCGGAGAAATGGACGATCATTACTCTCAAATGGCTGTTCATTGCCATGGTGTGTTCCGGTCTAATGCAACATCGTTGAAGGTTCGGGTTATGGCTAGCTCCATCCCTATCGTCAGACGTGGAAGCATGCTTCACTGGATGCCCGTATTGAATCGTGTTAGCACGTTTCCGATCATCGAGGATGAACTTTGCGAAGAAGGATGTCTTCAGCGGCCTTTGTTCTATTGCGAGCTCGATGCTAGGCGTATCAAAGAGATGAAGAGACGATACCATCTAACAAAGATCAAACGACACAAGCTCAAACGACACGTCGTCTAACTTAGGATATTGATCTTGTATCGGTCTTGGCTGAGTTTCGTCATGTCGGGGTGTTCATTCATCAACACAACGACGTGAGGGCATTGGAGTCTTTTGATTTTGCTTTCGTATTTCGGGCTAAAAATATAACCATTCTTCAACTCTTCCAAGAAATCATACTGAATGAAATCACCTTGTTTACTTGCTTCGGGGACAATCGAAAAAGAAGACTTTACTTTCTTCGTTGATCACGTACGCCATGTCGGCTTTCCTTCCAGGTACCACGATTTGCGCGTTATCGTGTAGTTCACAATAATACCGGGCAAACCAACTCTTACCTTGATTCCCGGTTTTATCCACGACGAAGATGATTTCACGGGTGTTGGCTGTACGCCTCAGGGATTCGTTCAGACTGGCTTGCCAGTTCCTGAGGGGGTGACATTCAGTGGTTGGTTTCGGGCGGTGATCGTCGACGTACTCTCTGACGAACCGAGGAACTCGTGCACAGATGTCGGAGTGAAGTTCGCGGAGTTCTACTGGGTCTGTGACTCCTTCCTTGACCGATTGTTTGAATTCCTCAAGGTCTGAATTTCCTTTTTTTCGACCAGACGACGTCTCGGTTGGGATGTTTCCTAGTTCTGAAAAATCTCCGTCTTTCTTGCAGTACTCGATGCTTTGCGAGAGATGTCTTGTAACGGAACAATGGGCTCTTCCAATCAGGGTTGTTACCTGTTGGAGCCTCTTCCGGGATTGGAAGCAAACAGTACCTTGAAGATGTGGTGTACCCGATGCACCGACTTCCCGACCGAAAATTAGGTAATCGATTTCTGCAGTAGAGGTGGCTGATGACAGGCGGTCTATATCCGCTGGGGTGTAGTTGTTTAGAGTGAAGCTCCAATACTTGGCTCTTGGTCCGGTTCCTGGCATTGTACAAGGTCTTCTTGGCGATGTTCATCCTAAGAAATGAGGTCAAACTAACAGAAACGGGGGGGAAAAACTAACGATTGACTAACGATTGGAATATCACACCATTAGGACTTCACACCGTATAATTTGATGCCGAGTTAAGATCTTATCAACTAATCTGGACTCCGGGTGGGTTGAATCGTGTACGTGTCAACAAGCTCTTTGTTTGAGGTACGTAAGGGGAATTTGCCATGAGGCGTGCCAATGCTGTATTCTCTTTATAGATCACCTCTTGGGCTGAAATACAGTCGTACATGATCATCGAGGGTGCCCCGATTTCGACTCGTCCGTGGACTTTGATGATGATAGTGTCCCATTGCTCCAAACGAACTGTTCAATGGCAGGCGGTTCCGTCAACATCCGGGCAAAATTAAAGTCGTTATCGATGGCATTGAGTTTGAATTGGAATCTGTGAATATCTCGAAGTTTGCCGGTTAGGTAGGTTTGGTAATTGGACAGGTCTAGATCTCCCACTGTTAGCGCGACTGCTGTATTGAAGACACCGGGTGCTCCTACTGGATCAGGTTCAGAGAAACTGAAATCTAGGGCGTTGGAGGGGATTCGGGCTGCTTCCCAGTACCCTTCGTTTTGATGGGCGCTATTGACGAGTGAGAGTCGTAGAGCTGTCCCTACGATGCGCGCGCATTTTACATTTGCACGGTCTTCAACCGTATCCAAATGCCCTTGGAAGGGTGTTGGGGTTACCTCAACCACCGTTGGATCGTTGTCGACTCGCCAACATAGGACATTCGACATGCCTGGTACTAAGGCAATATAGGTTGAACCTGCCCCATTACATGTAATCTCTCCGGTTGCTCGGAGTCTAATCCCTGATGATCTTGCCACTTTTCCATCTAGTAACTTGGGTTGAGACATCCCTTTATCAAAGGGGTCTAACAAAGATTTCGTATAGGTTTGAAGCGACATGTTGGTTGCAAGTGTCGGATACTAATTTTATGAGCTATCTCCACTTCCTCTGAAACTATCTCCACTTCCTCTGAAATTTACCCACTCCACTTTCCTCTGAAATTTACCCAGTTGGCTGCTGGATCCTCTCGCCAGAACGAGCACCCGAAAAACGGACAGCATCGGGGCCTACGTACGGTCCTGCATGACCTCCCAGCCCTTCACCGCAAATAAAATTGGCTATGATCCATGGAAATTTCATCGACCAAGGGAGGTATGCTGGGGCTCCAGATAAGCCACTGGTTTGTGCGAAACGTGTATTGTACGATGCGAGTTCTGGGTAGGTTGAGAAATCATTCTGATACGGGGATGCGGAAATGTAGGTAGCTCGATCCGTTGCATCGACGAAAAAGGATTCTCCGCAATGTCCTCCTGCGATATCTATTGGGTCTCCATTGGCTTGAAAACACACTCCGTTATGCGCACCTGGTACACCGGTTCTGGGGTATTTCGTGTCCCATGTTTGTGTGTATTTGCGTTCATCTGCCCAGCGGCTTTCCAAATATAAACGTCCGTCGGGTTGGACAGGTGTTGTCACACCTAGGAGGGCTCTGAAGTGACGGATCACTTCTATATTCCAAAGATCGATTTCCGATGGAGTGGGGTTTGCATTATCTGCGAAGGGATTTAGTTCGTAGAACTTTTCCCTTACACCCCTGATCACGTAAGGTTGTCCTGGGCGGAGGAAATCGCAAAGTTCTCCGTTTGTTTTTCCTGTTGGGTCAAAGGGTATTCCATCCCATTGGGCTTCCACCCCTCTATGGGTGGGGATCCATGTGATATCATCAGGTGCATGGGTTAACTGATCGTTATTTGCTCCTGGAACAGTACCTGTGGTCATGGCATTCATCATTTCAGTTCCTGTTGGACGGGTTGTTAACGTGAAGCTTGTCGAATACAGCCCATTTGGAACTACTAGGGGAGGGGTTGGAGGGGTGTCGGGAGAGGTGTCGGGGGAGGCAGGGTTGATTCGTACTCGTCTTCGAGATCGTTGTTTGCTGAGATAAGGCATTCTGGGACACCGAAGATAGGACTGTTAATGTCATTTATTTCTTCTAACGTTTGTTCTCCTAGCGGCTCTGGAAAACCGATGATTGTTGTTTCCAGTATCTCTTCCTTTTCACTTGTCGTAGTGTCTCTTTTAGTTCACAATAGGTTTAGAGTTGGAGTTCTGTTGGGGCGGTGCACTCTATTTTGAAACCCGGGTTTGACGTCGGGGGCGGTTGGTTGTTCACATGTGTTTCATTTTGCTCTCTTTCTGGGTCCGTTAGGGGTGTCTCCTATATAGATATTCGTTACGTTTCCTCCATACCCTTGCCAGAGATCATCTTGATTGCAATAATACCACGACATAGTTTCTATTTTTTATGTGAGAGAAGATGAATCTCGGAGATTGTTTGCTGGCTTGTCAAGGGGATGCTGATGGTTTCAATGATGGTGGTTCAGACAATCAGACGAGTTTTGGTATACAGAATGGGGACGTTTGTGGAGTTGAGGATGATGAGATGGAAAAACCTGATCCAGATTTACTGAAGTGCAATACACGGCTCTTAGCCTTATTCGCGACTCGATCCTAGATAGGGTCTGAGTTCGACTCATGACGTAGTCCTTCGCGAATAGTCATTGGAGACAGGGTTCTCAAGACCGCTCTAGTCATACTAGGTTGATGATGAAACATCGCTCTAGATATTTAGCCAGCGTGGAGACTTCCCACGCTACTAGATAAATGCTAGACGATCTTCCACGCGTTCCGTTTTTGGATCGTGGATGAGTAGGATTGCTACCGCAAACCTACTCTATCACACTCTACAGTCTCCCGCGGGAGTTCAGATCTACGATCCTTTATTGTTGGATCTCTCTCGTTGATTGTTTTCATAGCTTTCTAATCTTCTCATAACTTTCTTCTCTCAAACTCAAAACACTCGAAGATCTTTACACTAGTTTTTAGCGTAGTGCATTTTGTTAACAAACCACAATAGCTTTCAGCTACCCTCAACCTATTCCTCACCATGAGATTGCCAAAGACGCTACAACCAGCTTCGAGTCTAAGCTGCGTAACAAACCAATCCTTCCTCTCATCGACCCTCGATGAGAATGCGAAATCGACGATTCTCGCTCTACCACCTACAAACTTCTCGCACTATTCCAGCAGATGCTAACAGTGACAAGTACACCTTCAAGTTCCAAATCATCAATGGATTGAGACTCCACGTCGACCATCAAGTGGGCTGGACGTAAGGAGAAGGTCTTCGTCGGGCTTTCCATTGCTACGCCTGGCGCAAACATAACCTCCTCAAGGAGATGACTTCTAGCTCTGCCAAAGAGCAGTTCAGAATCTAGCGTTGCAGGCCATCGTGAAATACGTTGGATGCATTGCGCCAGATTGCAGTCAACGGCGATTGCTCCACGCGATGTACGTGGCGGCGAAGACGGAGCCGCTTTCCAAGTACGTTCCAGGCTGCCTGGAACGGAGCAGCGCAGCCTGCTTTGGACGATTCTGACATTACGTTTGGCAAAAATGCCTGTTCGAAGCGGCTGTCCCTACAAGGCTCTTGAAAGCAGAAACGCTTCATGCGCGCAAGATGCGTAAGCCTGCTGATATGTCTACTCGGGTTATGTCAACAAACTCAGTCGGATGAACACGATGAACTTCCTCGTCTACCACCTTTTTGGACCCAACCAAACGTTGAACCATGACGAGTCATGACATTGTTTGTCATGGAATCCACGCCTGGGATGAAGAAGATGGACGAACACGACTTCGATCCTTTCTCAGCTCCTATCGGAGAAACCATTGGATTCTGCGAACGCATGGAATCTCCGAAGACTTTGACAAGGGCGTGATTCCAAGCAAGCTCCTTCGAAGAAGAACAACAGCAAGAAGTACAAGTCCACTCGCAACAACGACCATCTCTTCCAAGAACGAAGAAAATGGTGCGACTACCACGAGTCAGCACTCACAACACTGCTGACTGCATGACTCTGGAAGAAGCTCAAGGCCAAGTCTCAGTCCTCGTCTGCAACGATAACCAAGCCCAGCGTAAACAAGAACAGACTTGGAAACAAGTCTAGATGCGACGACGCCAAGTACTCTACACAAAGAAGGAACTCTCTGTCCTCATTGAAGAAGCTTTCCAACGGTGCGGCAGGTGTCGCAAGAAGACAAAGGAATGCAACCATGTTGCCAAGGCCCAGTCGGACAACCTCCTGACAACAGAGAGTACGACTCTCTGTTGGATCATCAACATGTAATGGAACAACGAAGATGGTTGCTGTCGACAAGGCGCTTTCCGAATTCGACTTCAATCATTCGATGGAGAGATATCCGTTCTGAGGAATAGGCACAGGATAGATGATCTCAACGGAAACCATGTCCGATTTCTCATACCTAAGTGATAAAGATATCTTCACTAATCAGTTAACAAGATTTGTTTGTCAATAACGAAGGTCCTACGGAAATTAGATAATTGCACTAGTAGACTACTCAACTAGAACACTGACGATCTGTTCAGCATCGATTAACGGAACTTCGTCCATGGCATATAACTCATCAACGTCGCACCACAAGAGACCTCGAAACTATCGTCTATCTTAGATTTAACAGATCTCTTCTTTTCCCTCCCCTTCCCTCCCCTCCCACCCCCAACTCCTCCTCGTTCCGTTGTTGTGAGAGAGATCTTGTTAAACCTCTCAACATAGACGGATAGCCTTTCGAGGTCTCTTTGTCGCGTGCGACCGTTGATAGTTGATTGGCCCTATGGACGAACCCAGTTACACGGATGCTGAAACAGCAATCGTCAGATTCTAGTTGATCAGTTGCTAGGCAATTGTATAATTTGCCGTAGACTTTTTTAGTTGCAAACAAATCTGTTTTACTATTTAGTGAGATATCTTCATCACTTTGCTATGAGAAATCGGAACATGGTACCATTGAATCATCATCCTAGCATAATCCTCAGACGCCGAGCACTCCCTCTCCATCCCGCAATGATTGAAGTCGAATTCGGCTAGCGCCTTGTCGACAGCGCCCATCTTCTTGTCCATCATGTTGATGGACCCAACAGAGGAGTCGTCCTCCTTGTCGGAGTTGTTCCGACTTCCGCTTGGCAACATGGTTGCATCCGCTTTTCTTCTTGCGATCAGCCTGTACCGCAGCGTTGGAAACCTTCTTCATGAGGACAGAGAGTTCCTTCTTGGTCTAGGTCTTGGCGTCGTCGACTTGCGTTTCCAAGTCTTGTTTTTGTTTTACGCTGGCTTGTTATCGTTGTTCAGACGCACCACAAGGACTGAGACTTGGCCTAGAGCTTCTTCAGAGTCATGCAGTCAGCAGTCTCGTGAGTGCTGGACTCGTGGTAGTCGCCCCACTTTTCTTCGTTCTTGTAAGAGTGGTCGTTTTTGCGAGTGGACTTGTACTTCTTGCGTGTGTTCTTCTTCGTAGGAGCTTACTTGGAATCACCGCCCTTGTCAAAGTCTTCGGAGGATTTCCATGCGTTCGCAGAATCCAATGGTTTTCTCCGATAGGAGCTGAGAAAGGGTCGAAGACGTGTTCGTCCATCTTCTTCATCCACGAGCGTGGATTTCCTTGACAAACAATGTCGATGACTTCGTCATGGTTCAACGTTTGGTTGGTCCAAAGCGCTCGCGTAGCCGAGGACGTTCATCGGTGTTCATCCCACTGAGGTTGTTGACATAAGCCCGAGCAGACATATCAGCAGGCTTACGCATTTTGCGGCGCATGAAGCGTTTATGCTTTTAAAGAGCCTTGTAGGGACAAACCGCTTCGATACAGGCATTTATGCCCAAAGTAATGTCAGGGCATCGTCCAAAGCAGGATGCGCTGCTCCGTTCCAGGCAGCTTGGAAACGTACTTGGAAAGCGCCTTCGTCTTCGCCGCCACGTACATCCCGTGGAGCAATCCCGTTGACTGCAAAATCTGGCGCAAGCGCAATCCAACATTTCGATGGCCCGCACAGCTAGATTCGTAACTGTTCTTTGCAGAGCTAGAAGCCATCTCCTTGAGGAGGTTATGTTTGTCGCAAGGCGTAGCAATGGCAAGCCCGACGAACACCTTCTCCATACGTCCAGCCCACTTGATGTTCTGACGTGGAGTCTCAGATCCATTGATGATTTGGACCTTGAGGGTGTACTTGGCACTGTTCGCATCTGCTAGAATAGTGCGAAGTTTGTAAGTGGTAGAGCGAGACCACTCGTCATTCCGATTTCCGCCACTTCATCGTCGAGGTCGATTAGAGGAAGGTTTGGTTTGTCGCGCAGCTAGACTCGAAGCTGGTGTATGCGTCTTGGCAATCTTCCATGTGAGGAATAGGTTGAGGGTAGATGACAGCTATTGTGTTTGTTAACAAAATGCACTACGCTAAAAGCTAGCTAGTGTAAAGATCTTAAGAGTGTTTTGAGTTTGAGGAAATGCCAAGTTATGAGAGGATTAGAAGACTATGAAAACTAATCAACGAGACAGATCCACAATCAAAGGATCGTAGATCTCAACTCCCGCGGGAGACTTTAAAGTGAGATAGAGTAGGTTGCGGTAGCAATACTACTCACCTCCAACATCCAAAAACGGAACGCGGGGAAGATTCGCCTAGCATTTATCTAGTAGCGTGGAAGTACTCCACGCTCGCTAAATACATAGAGCGATGTTTCATCATCCAACTAGTATGACCAGACCAGACCGGTCATTGAGAACCCTCTCTCATCTCCAATGACTATTCGCGAAGGACTACGTCATGAGTCGAACTCAGACCCTATCTAGGATCGAGTCGCGAATAAGGCTAAGAGCCGTGTATTGCACTTCAGTAAATTCTGGATCAGGTTTTTCCATCTCATCATCCTCAACTCCACAAACGTCCCCATTCTGTATACCAAAACTCGTCTGATTGTCTGAACCACCATCATTGAAACCATCAGCATCCCCTTGACAAGCCAGCAAACAATCTCCGAGATTCATCTTCTCTCACATAAAAAATAGAAACTATGTCGTGGTATTATTGCAATCAAGATGATCTCTGGCAAGGGTATGGAGGAAACGTAACGAATATCTATATAGGAGACACCCCTAACGGACCCAGAAAGAGAGCAAAATGTGAAACTACATGTGAACAACCAACCGCCCCCGACGTCAAACCCGGGTTTCAAACTAGAGTGGCACCGCCCCAGAACTCCAATTCTAAACCTATTTGTGATACTAAAAGTATGACATTGCACCAGGAAAGTATGACATTGCACCAGGAAGAGATACTGGAAACAACAATCATCGGTTTTCCAGAGCCGCTAGGAGAACAAACGTTAGAAGAAATAAATGACATTAACAGTCCTATCTTCGGTGTCCCAGAATGCCTTATCTCAGCAAACAACGATCTCGAAGACGAGTACGAATCAACCCTGCCTCCCCCGACACCTCTCCCGACACCCCCTCCAACCCCTCCCCTAGTAGTTCCAAATGGGCTGTATTCGACAAGCTTCACGTTAACAACCCGTCCAACAGGAACTGAAATGATGAATGCCATGACCACAGGTACTGTTCCAGGAGCAAATAACGATCAGTTAACCCATGCACCTGATGATATCACATGGATCCCCACCCATAGAGGGGTGGAAGCCCAATGGGATGGAATACCCTTTGACCCAACAGGAAAAACAAACGGAGAACTTTGCGATTTCCTCCGCCCAGGACAACCTTATGTGATCAGGGGTATAAGGGAAAAGTTCTACGAACTAAATCCCTTCGCAGATAATGCAAACCCCACTCCATCGGAAATCGATCTTTGGAATATAGAAGTGATCCGTCACTTCAGAGCCCTCCTAGGTGTGACAACACCTGTCCAACCCGACGGACGTTTATATTTGGAAAGCCGCTGGGCAGATGAACGCAAATACACACAAACATGGGACACGAAATACCCCAGAACCGGTGTACCAGGTGCGCATAACGGAGTGTGTTTTCAAGCCAATGGAGACCCAATAGATATCGCAGGAGGACATTGCGGAGAATCCTTTTTCGTCGATGCAACGGATCGAGCTACCTACATTTCCGCATCCCCGTATCAGAATGATTTCTCAACCTACCCAGAACTCGCATCGTACAATACACGTTTCGCACAAACCAGTGGCTTATCGGGAGCCCCAGCATACCTCCCTTGGTCGATGAAATTTCCATGGATCATAGCCAATTTTATTTGCGGTGAAGGGCTGGGAGGTCATGCAGGACCGTACGTAGGCCCCGATGCTTGTCCGTTTTTCGGGTGCTCGTTCTGGCGAGAGGATCCAGCAGCCAACTGGGTAAATTTCAGAGGAAAGTGGAGTGGGTAAATTTCAGAGGAAGTGGAGATAGTTTCAGAGGAAGTGGAGATAGCTCATAAAATTAGTATCCGACACTTGCAACCAACATGTCGCTTCAAACCTATACGAAATCTTTGTTAGACCCCTTTGATAAAGGGATGTCTCAACCCAAGTTACTAGATGGAAAAGTGGCAAGATCATCAGGGATTAGACTCCGAGCAACCGGAGAGATTACATGTAATGGGGCAGGTTCAACCTATATTGCCTTAGTACCAGGCATGTCGAATGTCCTATGTTGGCGAGTCGACAACGATCCAACGGTGGTTGAGGTAACCCCAACACCCTTCCAAGGGCATTTGGATACGGTTGAAGACCGTGCAAATGTAAAATGCGCGCGCATCGTAGGGACAGCTCTACGACTCTCACTCGTCAATAGCGCCCATCAAAACGAAGGGTACTGGGAAGCAGCCCGAATCCCCTCCAACGCCCTAGATTTCAGTTTCTCTGAACCTGATCCAGTAGGAGCACCCGGTGTCTTCAATACAGCAGTCGCGCTAACAGTGGGAGATCTAGACCTGTCCAATTACCAAACCTACCTAACCGGCAAACTTCGAGATATTCACAGATTCCAATTCAAACTCAATGCCATCGATAACGACTTTAATTTTGCCCGGATGTTGACGGAACCGCCTGCCATTGAACAGTTCGTTTCGGAGCAATGGGACACTATCATCATCAAAGTCCACGGACGAGTCGAAATCGGGGCACCCTCGATGATCATGTACGACTGTATTTCAGCCCAAGAGGTGATCTATAAAGAGAATACAGCATTGGCACGCCTCATGGCAAATTCCCCTTACGTACCTCAAACAAAGAGCTTGTTGACACGTACACGATTCAACCCCCCCGGAGTCCAGATTAGTTGATAAGATCTTAACTCGGCATCAAATTATACGGTGTGAAGTCCTAATGGTGTGATATTCCAATCGTTAGTCAATCGTTAGTTTTTCCCCCCCGTTTCTGTTAGTTTGACCTCATTTCTTAGGATGAACATCGCCAAGAAGACCTTGTACAATGCCAGGAACCGGACCAAGAGCCAAGTATTGGAGCTTCACTCTAAACAACTACACCCCAGCGGATATAGACCGCCTGTCATCAGCCACCTCTACTGCAGAAATCGATTACCTAATTTTCGGTCGGGAAGTCGGTGCATCGGGTACACCACATCTTCAAGGTACTGTTTGCTTCCAATCCCGGAAGAGGCTCCAACAGGTAACAACCCTGATTGGAAGAGCCCATTGTTCCGTTACAAGACATCTCTCGCAAAGCATCGAGTACTGCAAGAAAGACGGAGATTTTTCAGAACTAGGAAACATCCCAACCGAGACGTCGTCTGGTCGAAAAAAAGGAAATTCAGACCTTGAGGAATTCAAACAATCGGTCAAGGAAGGAGTCACAGACCCAGTAGAACTCCGCGAACTTCACTCCGACATCTGTGCACGAGTTCCTCGGTTCGTCAGAGAGTACGTCGACGATCACCGCCCGAAACCAACCACTGAATGTCACCCCCTCAGGAACTGGCAAGCCAGTCTGAACGAATCCCTGAGGCGTACAGCCAACACCCGTGAAATCATCTTCGTCGTGGATAAAACCGGGAATCAAGGTAAGAGTTGGTTTGCCCGGTATTATTGTGAACTACACGATAACGCGCAAATCGTGGTACCTGGAAGGAAAGCCGACATGGCGTACGTGATCAACGAAGAAAGTAAAGTCTTCTTTTTCGATTGTCCCCGAAGCAAGTAAACAAGGTGATTTCATTCAGTATGATTTCTTGGAAGAGTTGAAGAATGGTTATATTTTTAGCCCGAAATACGAAAGCAAAATCAAAAGACTCCAATGCCCTCACGTCGTTGTGTTGATGAATGAACACCCCGACATGACGAAACTCAGCCAAGACCGATACAAGATCAATATCCTAAGTTAGACGACGTGTCGTTTGAGCTTGTGTCGTTTGATCTTTGTTAGATGGTATCGTCTCTTCATCTCTTTGATACGCCTAGCATCGAGCTCGCAATAGAACAAAGGCCGCTGAAGACATCCTTCTTCGCAAAGTTCATCCTCGATGATCGGAAACGTGCTAACACGATTCAATACGGGCATCCAGTGAAGCATGCTTCCACGTCTGACGATAGGGATGGAGCTAGCCATAACCCGAACCTTCAACGATGTTGCATTAGACCGGAACACACCATGGCAATGAACAGCCATTTGAGAGTAATGATCGTCCATTTCTCCGGAATCGAAACGAACATTTTTGTAATGAGAGACTATTACTTCATTATTGGTAAACTTTCCTCCCGAACTCCGAAATCTCATCCCCGTCGAAACTTCCCTCCATAATCGCTCGTCGAAACTTCCTCCTACTCGTTCGTCGACCGTTGGTACCTCAATCCTGGAACAATCGAGTCTTGATGGAATCGAAAGGATTTTCCACTCCGTTATTGAAAAGAGCACCGTCCACGTAGAGACCAGATCGTGTAGGCCCTACATTACGAAGCCAATGAAGTCCGCTCCAGAATTCATGTCCAACCGAAGTCACCTCGAAATTCGGGAGCGCGTCCACGATTTGACTCGGATATGCGGGAGGACCATACAACAAGAAACATCCCACCAACCTAGGCCTGTAACCATCGCGCACCGTCTTGTAGACCAATGAAGCCTGAATAATCTCGGCAATAGCCAATAGCTCATCGTAATCATTGGACGAAGGATTCCAACAGGAAAAGACTAGGTGACGGGTGCGCCTCGCCTCACGGATCAAGAAAGGTGGTGAAATCATCATCCCAACAAAAAACCCTTCTTATGAGAAGAAGAGAGACAGACACAACAATCAACCAGCAAGAAGAAACGCACTCAACAATCAACCAGCCCAATAAATTTGACACCGACATGTCATAATTTCTAACCAGAAAGATCGAAAAATGAAAAACTACTACTTGCTACCAATAACCCTTCTGTTGATCCTTTCGTCCGAAGTGCGGGAAAAGGAAAAGGCAAAGGGAGATCGAATGCATCTAATTACACCAAAGTCGAATGTACATGCCAAGACACTCTGATATGTGACTTCAAGTAACAACGGCCCCCTCCCGTTTAAGACGTAATCCAAAGAAAAACTAACGGTCATTAAACATTGCTTACAGTAGTACTCTTTTTTCCCCGTTCCGCACAAACAAAACATAAATTGAATCTCTCATTAGTAGTCAAAGGCAATCTCGGCTTAGCTCATTAGTAGTCACAAATGTGCACAATGGTTTTGCGCATTGACCTGTCCATTTTGGATCAATTGGATCCACCCCCTCGTCCAACCATAAAGACAACCAGAGCAGCCTGGTTGACAAGCAAGAAAGTCTTCGACATGCTCTTGAAGAACCCTTCGTTCGTAGATCCAGAGTCCATCGCCTCGAAGATTGAAGAGTTCCAAAATGAGTTTAAAAAGAAACAGAGGAGATACAGGCTCCATCCTCGCATCCTACGAAACCCCGACGCGTACTTTGCAACCGGTTTTTCGTACATCCATCCCACCCGCGGTTGCGTCAGGTACCAAGGCTATTTCGAAGAAGAAGAATTTGCCGGTCTGGTGGAAAGGATCCGCAACCGTCCCGCTGTGTACGAAGGTTTCTCCTTAAGGAAACGCCGCCGTATCTCTAGAAGGATTGCTAAGGTGTAAAAAGTCGGAACGTACGGGATTCAAATCACTCTGTTATATGGAGGAACTCGAGTATGAAGTATCACGTTGTTGTTTGCACCCCCTAATCAAGAATGACAATGACGCAGCTGCGTGCTACGATCGGATTCTCATGTACATTGCCAGTCTCGCAAGCCGAAAGATGGGTATGCCAGTGCGTGTCTGTAAAGTGAACGGCATGAATCTGGAACAGGCCCAGTACCATATCAAGACCACTCTGGGAACGTCAGTCACGTTTCTGGGTCATACGGAGGAAGATCCCTGGCACGGGTCTGGCCAAGGAGCTGGGAACTCCCCTGCCTTATGGCTGTTTATTTTGAGCACACTATTTGATTGTTATTCGAGCCCTATGCAACTGGTGCCACCTTTGCCAGCCCAGACGGATCAAAGCAGGTCAAGCTCTTCATGACGGGGTTTGTGGACGATACGAATTCAAGAACGAACTGCTTTTTGACCAACACTATCCCCAGTGCAGGTATTGGTTGGAGAAGGCAACCAAGGAGCTCAATGGTGGAATGATCTTCTGTGGTGCATCCGGTGGTCAAGCTGGAGGCTTGCTGAAGTGTTCTTTCATCATCTCCGGTATGATGTTCCGTATCCAGTGGCGATATCCAGAAGCTGGTCTCGGGGGACTGACTATTAACACCATCCATCAAGGTGACATCCACTGGATGGGATCGGTCACGATCTGGCTTGCCGATCAAACCAGTCGCAACTACGAAAGATCACAAAGTCACTGGGTATGTTTCTAAAGGCCGGCTGGAAATCTCGCAGCACAGAAACAGCGCCTTTGATTGATCAAGACAATGCACCCACTATAACCCAGAGTTCTTTTATGAAGGGATCTCTCTCTTTACCACTGAATAGACGGGAAACCAACATGTTCTATCGAAACATCTTCCTCTCGAGCGTAGGTTACTGCTTGGAGAACACCTTCTTCAAGGATGCTTGATCTCGATAGACCATTGGAAACGGCTCCACAAGAGCCGAGCTGCAAGACTTCAGAAGATGGGGTATCGATCAGAATACTGCGAAAAGTGATCTGCTATGGTTCCTGGAGTTGGGGGGTATAGTAATGTTTCGACTCGCTGACAAAGCAAGGAATCGGGGTCTCCAGCAGTTTTTAAAGCACTGGAGGACAAGGTGCAACGACATTGGAGGACCTAAGTGAAGTCACAACGCATGGTTGCAATTCCATAGCCGGAATTGCGCCGGCCCAATCCCTGAGGATCTCGAAATCGGGATTGTCATCTGTCCCAGTGCGGGCGTGGTTCCACATGGCATGCTGAAGGTTCCTTAAATTATCCATTGGAGGCTACGATTGAAATGCACAATGCACACATTCCGCCGTTGCAGCGCGAGCAAGACTCCTACATTATGTACTGGGTGGGGTGGTATGTAGATTTCTCCGAGGCAGACTGGAAACGAATCAACTATGTGCGGCTTTACTTCAAAGTTGTCACGGTAGCTGACATCACACAGGCATGTGGCACATACATCCGGGGGGAGTTCTGGCATGGGTTTTCCGCGATGCTCGAAACAAGCGATCAAGATCGACCCAGGGATGCCAAGACTTGGTGTGGGGAGGCTCCTGTTTACGTCCAATTGCGTGGAACACTGGGGTGATGGGTCTCACGTCTCTGGTCATTGTTAGCGAGCTGACCGGCCTGCGCCACGTATCTGGGTAACGAGTCGATCAGGCGGCGCTGCACGTTCGCGCTCTCTAATCAGCTCGCATGTTGAGCATGCGCATCGCAATTTGTCTGGTTCCTCTGCGCAATATCTCCCGCTATATGTCTGTACAAGAAGCTAGTAGTAAGTTGTATAGGATTCTTGTTGTAATAATTGACGTCATTCTCGACCATCTCATCATCGACCATCAGAAAATACGTGTCTCTCATCTCTAATCCCTCTCTCC